CTGTGCCCAGCAGTGCACCCACCTGTGCCACTCTGCAGTGCCACCTACCTGTGCCCAGAAGTGCCACCTACATGTGCCCAGCAGTGCCACCCACCTGTGCCCACCCACCAGTGCCCACCAGTGCCACCCACCTGTGCCCACCAGTGCCACCCACCTGTGCCCACCCACCAGTGCTGCCCACCAGTGCCACCCACCAGTGCAGCCCAGCAGTGCTGCCAGTCAGTGCCACCAGTCAGTGCCCAGGGTTGTGCCAGTCAGTGCCGCCAGTCAGTGCCCAGAAGTGATGCCAGTCAGTGCCGTCTATCAGTACCCATCATCAGTGTCACCTATCAGTGCCGCCTATCAGTGCTGCATATCAGTGCCGCCTATCCCGTGACCCCTAATTAGTATTGCCTATCAGTGCCCTTTAGTGCTGCCTACCAGTGCCCATCAGTGCCGCCTATCAGTGCCCATCAGTGCCGCCTCATCAACGCAAATCAGTGAAGGAGAAAAAAATACCTGTTTGAAAAATTTTATAAAAGAAACAAATAAACTTTTTTTTTTTTTTCAAATTTTTTACACTTTTTTTAATTTATAGCGCAAAAAGTAAAGCGCCCCAGCGGCGATTAAATACCACCAAAAGAAATCTCTATTTGTGAGAAAAAAATGATCAAAATTTCATATGGGTACTATGTTGCATGACCGCGCAATTGTCAATCAAAGTGCGGCAGCGCTGAAAGCTGAAAATTGGCCTGGTAAGGAAGGGGGTAGAAGTGTCCTGTAGGCAGGAAGGGGGTAGAAGTGCCCTGTAGGCAGGAAGGGGGTAGAAGTGCCCTGTAGGCAGGAAGGGGGTATAAGTGCCCTGTAGGCAGGAAGGGGGTAGAAGTGCCCGTAGGCAGGAAGGGGTAGAAGTGCCTGGTAGGCAGGAAGGGGGTAGAAGTGCCCGGTAGGCAGGAAGGGGGTAGAAGTGCCCGGTAGGCAGGAAGGGGGTAGAAGTGCCCGGTAGGCAGGAAGGGGGTAGAAGTGCCCTGTAGGCAGGAAGGGGGTAGAAGTGTCCTGTAGGCAGGAAGGGGGTAGAAGTGCCCTGTAGGCAGGAAGGGGGTAGAAGTGCCCTGTAGGCAGGAAGGGGGTAGAAGTGCCCTGTAGGCAGGAAGGGGGTAGAAGTGCCCTGTAGGCGAGGGGTTAATACAGGTGGTTTTCTGTAAATGAAACTAGGCCTCTCCGGAAGTAATTGACTCAAAATCTCATCTCTTTTTAGAATCGGCCAGTGCTTCCTGATAATCCTTTCTACTAGTTTAAATTGGCGAGAATAACTCGTTCTAAAAGCCATTTCTCCTGTGCATCTATCTTTAGATCGTCTGACCAGCAGATCTTCCCTATTCATTCCCTTCACCTGTTCTGGAGCACATTGCAAGGACTGTTCTTTATAACCTTTTTCCCAAAATCTATTCAATAACATATCAGATTGATTTTGAAATACTTTATTATCATCGTCACAGTTGCGTTTTAACCTCATAAGTTGACCTTTGGGAACGGCCTTCAGCCAGTTTCTGTGATGGCAGCTATGGGTCGGAATATACCCGTTCCTGTCCACATCTTTAAAATGGGTCTTTGTGAGAAACCCGTTACTTGCCTGTACACCGTCAGGTCCAAAAAATCAATCGCTGTCTCACTCAGGTTATAAGTAGAGATGAGCGAATCGAACTTGGCGAAGTGGAATTCGTTTCGAATATTAGGAAAAATTTGATTCGCACCGAATCCGAATTTTAGCAAACTTCGGATGCACGAATCAAATTTTCCCCGATCAGCCGGCAAAAAGTGTCACTGCAGAGAGCTCCTCTATTTCTGACAGTTCTCTGACAGTTCCTTCACATGTACAGCGGTTGAAACATTGTATCTATTTGTTTCCATTTAGGATACAGATGTTTTTATTCGGAAACAAATAGATACAATGTTTCAACCGCTGTAAATGTGAAGGAACTGTCAGAGAACTGTCAGAAATAGCAGAGCTCTCTGCAGGGACACTTTTTGCTGTACTGGAATTCTTCTTCTTTTCATTCCTCTTCTTCTTTTCATTCTTCTTCTTTTCATTCTTCTTCTTCTTCTTTTCATTCTTCTTCTTCTTTTCATTCTTCTTTTCATTCTTCTTCTTCTTCTTTTCATCATTCTTCTTCTTCTTTTCATTCTTCTTCTTCTTCTTTTCATTCTTCTTTTCATTCTTCTCATTCTTCTTTTCATTCTTCTTCTCATTCTTTTCATTCTTCTTCTTCTTCTTTTCATTCTTCTTCTTCTTCTTTTCATTCTTCTTTTCATTCTTCTTCTTTTCATTCTTCTTCTTCTTTTTTTTCATTCTTCTTTTCATTCTTCTTCTTTTCATTCTTCTTCTTCTTCTTTTCATTCTTCTTTTCATTCTTCTTCTTCTTCTTTTCATTCTTCTTCTTCTTCTTTTCATTCTTCTTTTCATTCTTCTTCTCATTCTTCTTTTCATTGTTCTTCTTCTTCTTTTCATTTTTCTTCTTCTTCTTTTCATTCTTCTTTTCATTCTTCTTCTTCTTCTTTTCATTCTTCTTCTTCTTCTTTTCATTCTTCTTTTCATTCTTCTTCTTCTTCTTTTCATTCTTCTTTTCATTCTGCTTTTCATTCTTCTTCTTCTTCGTCGTGCCCCGTGACTGGCCAATGAGTGAAGTGTGCGGTGATTCTAAGATGGACGGCACTCATCTGCATGTCATACTGACTGACAGTATTATTTCTCTTCCCCAGCAGACTCCAAAGGCATTTAAATTAAAGGTACAGTGTTCTGCACTAATATAAAGGCTCTCTGAAGCCTAGAAACACCCTTTTATAAGTTAAATTCGCGGCGAATAAATTTGCATCGAATCGAATTTCTCCCGCAAATTCGGCGAATCAGCCGAATCGAATTTTTGAATAATTCGCTCATCTCTAGTTATAAGTGAATGATAAGTTCACATCATTATTCCCCATCTTATCAATAAAGTCAACCAGTCCTTCTTTGTCTCCTTTCTGTATAATGATGATGTCATCTATGAACCTCCTATAAAGTAGCAGTTCTTTCTTCCTATTTACAAACATTGCCTTACTTTCCCACCCACTCATGAATAAATGAGCTACTGACGGGCATACTTCGCACCCATCGCTACACCCATAATCCGTTTATAAAATCTTTTAGAATGCCAGAAAAAATAAAAAAAAAAAAATATTAAAAATAAAAAACAATAAAAAAATTTAACATAAATGAAACAATATGTTTAAAAAAAAAAAAAAAAAAAATAAATTAAAAAAAATTAAAAAAAGTCATAGCCAGATCCCGACATTTCATGATAAATTGTAATTGTTCAGAATCAACTCCTGACTTAGTTCCCATTGCTCCTTTAACCGCTGCTAGGGCGCCATGATGTTTTATATTCGTGTATAACGAATTTACATCTACACCGGCCATGACACAATCCTCACCTTCACTAATAGCTTTCAGTGAGCTCATCAAATCCCCACTATCTCTTAACCATTAGCCGCCCGGCCAATGGCCGTTTGGCGGCTTCAGATGTGCCTCTTCATTCCAGGTGCACGCCATTTGGCGTGCTCCCGCACATGCGCTGTTTGCACTAGTGCAGAGCGGCGCAGCAGCGGGATCTGTCACGGGCCGTGCACCTCGGACACGGCCGATGACAGATCCGAGTACCGGCTCCGTTGCTGGTACCATGTGACCTGCCGTGACCAATCACAGCAGGTCACATGACAGTTGTATACAATGGATGGCTTCATTCATGATGCCATCCATTGTATACTAGTGCCTAGCTGTGAATGGTCACAGCGATCACAGGCACATGTCATGTGATTAGCTGTGACCAAATCACAGCTAAGCACAAAAAAAAAAAAAAAAAAAAGCTGAATGAATCGATGTCATTCAGGTAAATGCTTGTTTATAGCAAAGTAATTCTTTGCTATAAGCAAATTGTGTAAAAAAAAAAAAAATACTGATCACTTCCCCAAAGTAGTACAATGTTACTACGGTACTATTGTATGGTTACTAATGGTAACATTGTACTATTTTGGTCATAGTAAAATATAAAAAAAAATCTTAAAAAAAAATTAAAAAAAATGTAATAAAAAATTAAATATAATAAAAAAATTAAAAAAAATTAAAAAAATATAATATATATTTTTTTTTTTTCATACTATCACCAGTCAGTGTCCCTGATCACCGCCATGCCAGTTATATGATGACGCTGTACTGCACTGGTGACAGGATGTAAAAAAAAAAAAATAGTGAAAATAATTTTTTTCATTTTTTCATTTCCGAAAAATTATGACAAAAAAATACAACTTCAAAAAACTTGCCATTCCTCTTATAAAGTACGTCGGACTGTCTACTCTGCAAAATGGGGTCATTTGGGGGATATCTGTACTGTCCTGACATTTGGGGGATATCTGTACCGTCCTGACATTTGGGGGATATCTGTACTGTTCTGACATTTGGGGGATATCTGTACTGTCCTGACATTTGGGGGATATCTGTACCGTCCTGACATTTGGGGGATATCTGTACCGTCCTGACATTTGGGGATATCTGTACTGTCCTGACATTTGGGGGATATCTGTACTGTTCTGACATTTGGGGGATTATCTGTACCGTTCTGACATTTGGGGGGTATCTGTACTGTTTCTGACATTTGGGGGATATCTGTACTGTCCTGACATTTGGGGGGTATCTGTACCGTCCTGACATTTGGGGGATATCTGTACCGTTTGATATTTGGAGGATATCTGTACTGTCCTGACATTTGGGGGGATATCTGTACTGTTCTGACATTTGGGGGATATCTGTACCGTCCTGACATTTGGGGATATCTGTACTGTCCTGACTTTTTGGGGGATATCTGTACCGTCCTGACATTTGGGGGATATCTGTACCGTCCTGACATTTGGGGGATATCTGTACCGTTCTGACATTTGGGGGATATCTGTACCGTCCTGACATTTGGGGGATATCTGTACCGTCCTGACATTTGGGGGATATCTGTACCGTCCTGACATTTGGGGGATATCTGTACCGTCCTGACATTTGGGGGATATCTTGTACTGTCCTGACATTTGGGGGATATCTGTACCGTCCTGACATTTGGGGGATATCTGTACTGGTCCTGACATTTGGGGGATATCTGTACTGTTCTGACATTTGGGGGATATCTGTACTGTCCTGACATTTGGGGGATATCTGTACCGTCTTGACATTTGGGGGATATCTGTACTGTCCTGACATTTGGGGGATATCTGTATTGTTCTGACATTTGGGGGGATATCTGTACCGTTCTGACATTTGGGAGATATCTGTACCGTTCTGACATTTGGGGGATATCTGTACTGTTTCTGACATTTGGGGGATATCTGTACCGTCCTGACATTTGGGGGATATCTGTACCGTTCTGACATTTGGGAGATATCTGTACCGTTCTGACATTTGGGGGATATCTGTACCGTTCTGGACATTTGGGAGATATCTGTACCGTTCTGACATTTGGGGGATATCTGTACTATTCTGACATTCTTTCTGACCTGCAAGATATTAGATTGGCTGTCAGTACTTCAGGATTGATCAATATTCAGATCTATACCATAGTTTGTGAACTCTATAACTTTCCTAAAAACTAAATAATACATCCTTAATTTGGGTTAGTTTCACCAAAGACATGGAGCAGAATACATCTTCGGCCTAAATTTATGAAGAACAATTATTTATTTGTAAACTTTTATAACAGAAACAAAGAAAAATGTGGTTTTTTTTCAAAATTTTTGGTCTTTTTTTGTTTAATTTAGCAAAAAATAAAAACCCCGGCGGTGATTAAATACCACCAAAAGAAAGCTCTAGTTGTGTGAAGAAAATGATAAAATTTTTAGTTTGGGTACAATGTTGTATGACCGCGCAATTGTCATTCAACGTGTGAGAGCGCTGAAACCTGAAAAATGGCCTGGGGGCAGGGAGGGGGAAAATTGCCCGGTATGGAAGGGGTTAAGTAAGCGGGAAAGGAAGATACAAGGGTTGCAAAAACTTATCTACATATTCTCCCAGTCTGGAGAAATCAATGAATCAATCCTACATTTTGTCATTTTTATGATCGGTCTTCCTGGAGGTTTTGTCAGATTTTTTATGAATTTTAGGTAATTGGTAAATCACTGGTATTTTAGGAGCCTTAGGCACTAGATACAGTCAGGTCCATAAATATTGGGGACATGGACACAATTCTATCATTTTTGGCTCTATACACCACAATGGATTTGAAATGAAATGAACAAGATGTGCTTTAACTGCAGACTGTCAGCTTTAATTTGAGGGTATTTACATCCAAATCAGGTGAACGGTGTAGGAATTACAACAGTTTGCATAGGTGCCTCCCACTTGTTAAGGGACCAAAAGTAATGGGACAGAATAATCATCATAAATCAAACTTTCACTTTTTAATACTTGGTTACAAATCCTTTGCAGTCAATGACAGCCTGAAGTGTGGAACGCATAGACATCAGCAGACGCTGGGTTGTCATCCCTGGTGATGCTCTGCCAGGCCTCTACTGCAACTGTCTTCAGTTCCTGCTTGTTCTTGGGGCATTTTCCCTTCAGTTTTGTCTTCAGCAAGTGAAATGCTCCATCGGATTCAGGTCAGGTGATTGGCCATTGCAGAACATTCCACTTCTTTGGTGGCTTTTGCAGTCTGCTTTGGGTCATTGTCCATCTGCACTGTGAAGCGTCCAATGATGTTGTGAAGCATTTGGCTGAATATGAGCCGATAATATTCCCGAAACACTTCACAATTCATCCGGCTGCTTCTGTCAGCAGTCACATCATCAATAAATACAAGAGAAGCAGTTCCATTGGCAGCCATACATGCCCACGCCATGACACTACCACCACCATGATCACTGATGAGGTGGTATGCTGAGGACCATGAGCAGTTCCTTCTCCATACTCTTCTCTTCCCATCACTCTGGTACAAGTTGATGTCGGTCTCATCTGTCCATAGGATGTTGTTCCAGAACTGTGAAGGCTTTTTTACATGTCGTTTGGCAAACTCTAATCTGGCCTTCCTGTGTTTTGAGGCTCACCAATGGTTTCCATCTTGTGGTGAACCCTCTGTATTCACTCTGGTGAAGTCTTCTCCTGATTGGTGACTTTGACACGCATACACCTACCTCCTGGAGGGTGTTCTTGATCTGGCCAACTGTTGTGAAGGGTGTTTTCTTCACCAGGGAAAGAATTCTTCGGTCATCCACCACAGTTGTTTTCCGTGGTCTTCCGGGTCTTTTGGTGTTGCTGAGCTCACCGGTGCGTTCCTTCTTTTTAAGAATGTTCCAAACAGTTGTTTTGGCCACGCCTAATGTTTTTGCTATCTCTCTGATGGGTTTGTTTTGTTGTTTCAGCCTAATGATGGCTTCACTGATAGTGACAGCTCTTTGGATCTCATCTTGAGAGTTGACAGCAACAGATTCCAAATGCAAATGGCACACTTGAAATGAACTCTGAACCTTTTATCTGCTCATTGTAATTGAGATAATGAGGGAATAACACACACCTTGGCCATGGAACGGCTGAGAAGGCAATTGTCCCATTACTTTTGGTCCCTTAACAAGTGGGAGTCACATATGCAAACTGTTGTCATTCCTACACCGTTCACCTGATTTGGATGTAAATACCCTCAAATTAAAGCTGTCAGTCTGCAGTTTAAAGCACATCTTGTTCGTTTCATTTCAATCCATTGGGGTGTATAGAGCCAAAAATGTTAGAATTGTGTCCATGTCCCAATATTTATGGACCTGACTGGCTAATCTTGTTTCCTTACTATTCAATATTCCCAATTTTTCTCTTTCTTTGACTAGTTTAATTAATTTTGATCTATATTTCCTTGTGGGGTTACTTTTCAATAATTCATATGTGTTACCATCATCCACCAGTCTATTCAGCTCTATATAATAATCGGATTTATTTAAGACCACTACCCCCCTTCCCCCCTCCCTTATCTGCTGATCTAATTACAATATTTTCATTCTTTTCTAACTTCCGAATTCCTGAAATTATATCCTGTTTAGATCTCAACTTGGGGATAGATAAATGCTCCAAATCATGCTCTACCATTTTTTTTTAAAAGTTTTCCACAAAGCGATTATTTGCTATTTTAGGATTAAAGACTGATTTATTCCTTCTTTTAGTATGCAAATGAGGGCCTATAGTATCCTTTTGCAAATTCCCCAATAAGATATAGACTTGATTTATCACTAACACCACCCTTCTCAATATCATTATTACCACTTTGTTTCTTACTACAAAATTTCTTTAGATTCATTTTTCTAATGTATTTCTGTAAATGTCAGCAATGGACTCAGCACTGGGGGTGGGACTCACCTGCCGTGTGGGCTGCGGTACCAGAGCTGACCAGCGGGTGCTCTCAGTACTGGACTCAGCACTGGTGGTGGGACTCACTGCCGTGTGGGCTGCTGGAGTACCAGAGCTGACCAGCGGGTGCTCTCAGCAATGGACTCAGCACTGGTGGTGGGACTCACCTGCCGTGTGGGCTGCGGTGGGTACCAGAGCTGACCAGCGGGTGCTCTCAGCAATGGACTCAGCACTGGTGGTGGGACTCACCTGCCGTGTGAGCTGCGGTACCAGAGCTGACCAGCGGGTGCTCTCAGCAATGGATTCTCAGCACTGGTGGTGTGGGGACTCACCTGCGTCGTGTGAAGCTGCGGTACCAGAGCTGACCAGCGGGTGCTCTCAGCAATGGACTCAGCACTGGTGGTGGGACTCACCTGCCGTGTGGGCCTGCGGTAACCAGAGCTGACCAGAGGGTGTGCTCTCAGTACTGGACTCAGCACTGGTGGTGGGACTCACCTGCCGTGTGGCTGCGGTACCAGAGCTGACCAGCGGGTGCTCTCAGCAATGGACTCAGCACTGGTGGTGGGACTCACCTGCCGTGTGGGCTGCTAGGTACCAGAGCTGACCAGGCGGGTGCTCTCAGCAATTGGACTCAGCACTGGGGGTGGGGACTCACCTGCCGATGTGGGCTGCTGCTGGTACCAGAGCTGAGCCCAGCGGGTGCTCTCAGCAATGGACTCAGCACTGGTTGGTGGTACTCACCTGCCGTTGTGGGCTGCTTCAGGGTACCAGAGCTGACCAGCGGGTGCTCTCAGCAATGGACTCAGCACACTGGTGGTGGGACTCACCTGCCGTGTGAGCTGCTATTATGGTACCAGAGCTGACCAGCGGGTGCTCTCAGCTAATGGACTCAGCACTGGTGGTGGGGACTCACCTGCCGTGTGGGCTGCGGTACCAGAGAGCTGACCAGCGGGTGCTCTCAGTACTGGACTCAAGCACTGGTGGTGGGGACTCACCTGCCGTGTGGGCTGCGGTTACCAGAGCTGACCAGCGGGTGCTCTCAGCAATGGACTCAGCACTGGTGGTGGGACTCACCTGCCGGTGTGGGCTGCGGTACCAGAGCTGACCAGCGGGTGCTCTCAGAAATGGAAACTCAGCACTGGTGGTGGGATCACCTGCCGTGTGAGCTGCGGTACCAGGGCTGACCAGCGGGTGCTCTCAGAAATGGACTCAGCACTGGTGGTGGGACTCACACTGCCGTGTGGGCTGCGGTACCAGAGCTGACCAGCGGGTGCTCTCAGCAATGGACTCAGCACTGGTGGTGGGACTCACCTGCCGTGTGAGCTGGCGGGCTACCAGAGCTGACCAGCGGGTGCTCTCAGCTATGGACTCAGCACTGGTGGTGGGACTCACCTGCCGTGTGGGCTGCGGTACCAGAGCTGACCAGCGGTAATGCTCTCAGCAATGGACTCAGCACTGGTGGTGGGACTCACCTGCCGTGTGGGCTGCCGGTTACCAGAGCTGACCAGCGGGTGCTCTCAGCAATGGACTCAGCACTGGTGGTGGGACTCACCTGCCGTGTGGGCTGCTGCGGTACCAGAGCTGACCAGCGGGTGCTCTCAGCAGCCAGAAGCTCACTCCTGCAATCAGCCCTCCAAACCTGGGGGCTGATTGGCAGGAGGTGTATTTAAAGGCATGGACCAGGCCTGTGATCTGGGCCTTGGTGTATGTTTCCCATGAGCCCCTGTACCTGGTATCCTGTGTTTCCTGCCTCGTTGCTGACCCTGCTTGATCCTGACCTCTGCTGACCGTCTCCCGTTGAAACCCCTGGCTTGGTCTGACCATCCTTCTGCCTGATCCTCTGTACCACGCTGCCCGTGAGTTTACTGAACCCCCGGCTTGTGACCCGACTATTCTCTGCCTGCTCCTTTGGTACC